CACAGCCTAAAGTCTACCTGGTGAGACCCTCCACCCTGGAGAAATTTGACTTCCCTGGCCTGTTGGAGGATGTGGGAAGAGACCTTCCAGAGATCCGAGCCCACGCCCTCTCTTGGCTCTACCGACGCTAACCTCCAACCTTGTCAGTCAGAAAAAGGAGGCATTCAAAGCGCTAGTATGGGCAGCTGCCTCGTTATCTGGTGGGGTGTCAGCTATTCCTGTTCCCCTTGTGGCCTCCATGGTGGACTCAAGTGTAGCAATGCGGATTCTAACCAAAGCACAATTATCTCTGTGCCTGGACGAAGAATCGGTGGAGCGATTAGCCGGACAGCGAGGCATGGAACCCATAAGACTTAAAGGGCTGCGGACTTGTGTACTGTCAGTGGAGGTCACCAAAGGTGAAGTGAAAAAGCGCCTGGCAGCGGCAGAAAAGGAGTTGGCCACGGTTTCGTCGAAGCTGGTGGAGATGGCGATCCCCAGACATGCCCGCTGTGCGAGCCGCTCTTTCGCTGCCATGCTGCAAGCTTTAAACAGTGCCATTGATGAAATGGCGGCTGATGCTGAGAAGATAGTGGCTGCTGCTCTTGGGGAGAGGAAGTGAAGTCCATTGTTTTTCTCTTTGTGTAATGTTTCGCTGACTGACTCGCTTTTAATGTTTTCGGATATATGAAATGCACTGTACAAAGGCAAAAGACCTAACTCACCAGTGTATAGAGCTGAGAAAAATTACTTTACAGTTGTTTTGTTGTCCAGCCAAATTAATTGTAGTTAGAATATTGGAAATGTGGCAATTCTTTGTTTTTTTTTAATAAAGATATTTATCTACATAAAAATCTTGATCTCAAACATGACCTTTGACCCTTATTAGGATATTAATGTACTGTGCCTTTGCATTGTTTGCAAAAATAATAAGGGGTCTTTCCAAGGCAAAAAGCTGATGCCTATTTTATATCAGTATGATAACATCATATCCTGATGTTATCATACTGATATTAAATATCATAATCATGGCACAATTAGGCTTAACAGAATATAAAATATTTATAATAAAATCTAAATGAGAATAAATGTATATTTACTTGAGAATTGTCACTGCCGAGCTTGTGTGTGTGTGATTAGGCTCGGAGGTGTGACTGACTGCATGACATGAAAAAAGCATTCATTGTATGATTTACGATTTACTCAAGCCATCTAGTTATTGTTGATTTCCAATGTTTTATTTGCATTGTGTTCGCATGTGGAAGGAGTTTGTTTACTACTGCTAGCTCGCTAACAATAATAATAATAAATGTATTTATAGAGTGCTTTCAATCAAAGTGCTTTACAAAAAGAATACATTTGAAATACAAAAAGTACAATAAAAATTTTAATTAAACACATGTAGTAAGTACCACTTACACAAAGACATCAGGGATGAACATTTAGGACTCATACGCACCAGTGAATAAGTAGGTCTGAAGCTTTGATTTAAAAACCTCACATGCCAGTCTCATATCTGCTGGAAGACTGTTCTATAATGTTAGAGTGCGAAACGAAAAGACTCGCTCACCAACCGCTTTCTTTCTAACCTTTGGTACAGTCAGAAGTTCCGTCCCGTGGGAGCGCAGCACAATTGTTTTTACCTTCATCTTGGTCTTTGCGTGTCAAAGCCATATTATCAGTGTTTATCTTCATAGCCGCTCCTTGTGGTCCCAAAATTATGCAACATGAGCTTAGTTGAATTCCCTTTGGTTGATGAGCCAACCATTCCTCTGGGTTTGATTGGGCAGCATTCTTGAATACTTGAGCGTACAATGAAATGGATATTCCGGAAGTTTCGCATCTGGCATGTTTGCCACAATAAATTTCTCCCAAATCTTAGCCGGCTCCAAAAAATCTGCACTGAGATTTCCAATCCAAAATACTGAAGAGGACTCCATCTCTGTTGTCATCAATAATTGGTGAACCGTTTCTTTTGGTACTTCTATCAGACAGCCGTCTGGTGTACATTTTATTGTACAATTCAATCTAAACAAAGCATCTCTTCCCAATAAAGCAATAGGTGTAAGTTCTAAACCAATTGAGCTCTGCTATAAAAATCAGAAAACTACAATACCCAAATTGGTATCGTAGTTTTCTGATTTTTATAGCAGAGCTCAATTGGTTCCGTGAGAGGAATCAGCTGCTTCACTCCCTCAAACCTGATTGTCCGAATCAGTTGATTGGACATAGGAAGATGTGTGGCATCTTCAGGCCGAACACAGGTGAAAGCAGCTCCGCTATCCGCCATCACTTCCAATGGTCGGTTATTTACTTTCACCTCAATTGCTGGATCTCTTTCCGGCCCTGATGCGGATTTTCTGGGCACCTCTAGAATCCTGGCTCTGGGCCCCTGTGAGGGTTCACCGGGCCTCCAAGTGACCTTGACTGGCCCCTGAATCCTCCTCTGAAATTTCCTCCTCTGAAATTTCCTCCTGACCAACCTGTTCACAATTATAACACACTTCTGGAGACTGCTGGAGGTATGGATTAAATCCTCCTCCTCTTCCTCTTCTTGAGCTTCCTTGTCCCCTTCCTCTCCAATTCTGTGTCTGTCCATGAACTGGCTGTGGATATGAAACAACTGGAACCACTAGTGGTGGTTGGGGCAATATGGTTGTACCTGGTTTGACTGAAGCTGTGGTGGTGATTGTTGCTTTGGTAAACACTGATCCTGCATAACCAAAGCCTGTTTCTTCTCCTCCTTCTTATTTTCCACCAGTTGTATTTGATTGAGTTTTCTGAGAATTACTCCTGTTCTTTCTGGTCAATGTTCCTTTTTCCTATATAGATCCACTTGATGGGCTATATGAACTGTATAGACCCCTATTGCCATGCTTCCACCATACTAGTGCAGAAACTTTCACCAGAATGCAGGAAATTAAGTGTTTAATGCTAAGGATCTTTTCATCTCATTCTCAACCTTTTATCGCATATCGTGATTGACTCACAAGCTAAGTATCTCACACATCTTCACACCCCTAGTCTGAGCCCCTATGTCCCCAGCACTTTTCAGGACAAAGTGACTCCCTTGCTAAGGAGTAATCAATTAGCTTAACACAGGTACATTTGCAATTGCCGCAATTACATTTTCTCCCTTCTTTATTTATTTATTCATATATATATTTTTCTTTAATCCTCGCATATCATCCTCTGCATAGCCTCTCATACACAGCAGAGACACAGCAGAGGCAGCTCTCCACACACACTACAACCTCTCATATTTCTCCCACACACATGCTAGCTATCCAATCAATAAGAATGCATTCCTTCACACTATTTATAAAGCATGCTTCCGCCGCACCGTTTTCCTTTATTATTTTCCTTCCTAAATTTGTGCTACCTCGAGTTTGTAGATATTTAATGAGAGGCTAATTTGGACCTAGTTCATCAACACATGTATCGAGAGGTAATTTACAATTAAATTTTTCTTCTACAAGCTCCCAGTTCCTTTGAACGGACCCGGAAATTCACCTAGTGCCTTTCCAGGATTTGCAACCCATCTAAGATCGCCTTCAAGGGCTTTTGTCCAGATCTGCGGCGTCCTAATCCTTATATTATATAATTCCTTAGCCTTATTAATTTTATTAAAACCAAATGACCCTGGCCAGGGTTACACTCTCTTTTTCCCTTAATCCAATTTGACTATTCCTTAAAGCCTAGTTTCACGAAACAGTAGTTTCCATCGACTTACATTTATAAGAATCTGAGGGCCCATATATATAATTTTTGCAAAGTTATGAAAGGTCACTTTTCCGTTACTCGTAGACTATTCCTTTTTCTTCCTTTTATATCTATTTATCTTTCTTCATTATATTCACACACACCCCTTATTGCGTTGTCCACAACGCAAACAAAATTTAGTCCTATCACACATCCAACCGCAAACATCCACACGGGATCAAACCGGTGTACCCTTTAACGCACACACAGACACACGAACTGACCAGCGCCCACAGTTTATGAGAAAACTCAACATATATGCTAGCTTCTGGAGCGGGAGTCAGCTCGACGGAGCCCGTGATGGAACAATGAATTTAGGCACAACACGGTCCCATCTGGGGTGTCAATTTCTGTGGTGTCCGAACAATAATGCTGCGATGATGTGTTGAGAAGAAACCTGCTTGACACTGTTCTTGATCATAAAAGTTTATTAAAGCAAAGAGTTCAGCATCAATTACAAGCTCTGCAGCAGCTTGGAGAGTGACCCAGTCAAATTCTATAGAAGGGTTCAGTCCCTACATAACCACCAATCACTGCTCTCCCCGTAGAACACCTCCCCAAAGGTCACTGACCCTCTGTCTTGCTGCTACAGTGCTATTTTAAACTGTTATGAGTCAAATGCATAAGTATTGGATACTACACACCAACATTTTCCCTAGAGACCAATGGGCCATTTCTAAAAGCTAGATGTTAGCCTAGTCGGTGCTGATGAATTGGCGTCATAATGTTACTTTAGTCAAGCTGTGTGTATTTATGTCAGAAATGCTTCAATGACATGTATTATCCATGGGCATAAAACTGTGACTCCATCATGGTAAACAGTAAGTTAACTTTTTTTTTTACTTTGACACGCAGCCAAACAAAGGCATTCCAGAGCGCATCAAAACAAAGACAAAGTAGCCTACTGTAACGTTCACTGATGACAAACCACTATTTTCTCCAAATAACAACAAAAATGACCGAAGATATTTGTCCTCATGATAAAGCAGATGATTAATGTTCCAAAAATGACAATAATTATTTTTCAACCAAAAAGTTAAGGCCTTTTGACTTTGCATGTCAATCTTTTGACACATTTTCCCTCTCATAAATGAGCCTGCAGTAGGCTACTGAAGGACACTGTAAATACAGCGTAGGCTACATTCTGCAAATGGATGTCAAACACTGTACTCTGCCCTGTGCCTGTTCACCTCGCCCACCCTGAACAGTGAGTGACTTTCACTATTTACACAGGCATCCAATAGAGGAAGTGAGAGGAAGTTCAACTGCATGCATAGGCCTACAGTAGCAGACAAGTTGAAGGGAAAGAACAACCTTCATCAGTCCCACTATAAAAAATTGTGATCTCTGGCTTGCATGATTGGGCATGCAAATTCAAGATTTTAAGTAACTGTGAATTTTTTTCCACAGTTTTTAAACGTATTCTTACTTCAGGATGGATGGTGTGTGCTACGGACTACTATAAGTGGATCATCTGAGGTAAGAACAAGCTTACTTTTGTGTCTTTCAGTCTAAAATATTTCATCTAGTTGACTGCCTAATTTAACTGAAAAGGTTCTCTCTCCCTGTGATGGTTTATCTCAATCATCAAGATCGTACGATTTGTACTACGATAGAGATAGTCGAGTGATTTCTAATTAAGACTTTCGAAACTGAAAGACAAAATGTATTCAGTTATTAGTGATTAGTGAACTTTCTCCAGCAAAAGTAATCTTGTTGTATCCACAATCTACATTGACATTTGTACGTGATGAATACACTGTAAGGATAAAATATTAAATCTGTAAAATAAATGCTATACCACTACTAATTTATTGCGTGGTGGAGCGTGGGTTTGAATGCATGGCTGGTGAGGTAGACAAAAGTGATTTAAACAAACAGCTGATGTCAAATAAACTATTTTCCTCCAAGTCATATTTTAGGTATTAAAGGAAAATGAAACTGAACATGTAACTTTAAGCCTTAAAATGTGATGTATGTTTTGGTCTCTGCTGTGTCAACCATGATAACTACAACTACACAAACGAAAGAATAAAAACAAAAGAGAACTTGCATTTTTGCAATGCTAGAGCATTCCCAAACAATCTTAAAATGAGGAAGAAAATGCAGACTATTCAGAAAAAAGAAACAAAAAGAGGAAGAAGAGGAAGCCCATTTGTTAACGAGGTTAAAAAAAAAGAGAGGAGGTTCTGTGGTGTTGTGATGTATATAATACTGTACACGCACTCTTTTTTTGCTTTGTGTTTTTTTTTGTTGTTTTCAGATATCACACCTTAATGCTACACGAAGATGAATGCTCAGACAGTCGGGTGGTTGGTAGTTCTGGCACTGATAAAGAGTAGGAATGTTATTACTTCACTATGATAACATTGTTTGCTTTTAACACATTTGCACTGAAGTCATACACATTACCTGACACTTGTGTTTTCACCACCACAGATTTTTCTTGTGCCCTCTTCAAACTGGAAGAGAGCAAACTGACAGCAAAAGAGGGGTCCTGCATTGAAATCAAATGCACAGTCCTTAAAAACATTAATCATGTTGGTCTATACTGGTTTTGGATGAAGAATGCAAATTGGAATGAAGATTTAAAAGATTTTAATGCCACTATCATTTATAGCACAAATAACTCATTACGTCCCGTCAGTCCAGACTTTGCAGACAGAGTGCATTATACTGGCTCTCCATTTTCAAGTTGGAGAAATAGTTACAGATCTACACCAAAGTGCAGTATTTTGATCTGCAACCTGAACAAAACTGACAGCGGGAACTACTCTTTCAGATATGTAGGATCTGTTTCTTCTGAAAAATGGAAAACTAACGTAGTGAACCTCACAGTTGAAGGTAAGCACAAAGATTGGTTGATTTGAGATTTAATAATATAGAATATAGGAAAACTTTTAAAATCATTTTTAATAATTTGAAAAAAACTGTAGGGTTACAAGATTACATCTGTCGGGGAAAGTCATATCAGATACAGGAATTAACATCCTGGTTTTGTGATATGATATAAACATGCTGTCCATTTGTAATTTTATAAGAACTCAGTAAAGTCACATTTTGCGTCAACATTTTGAGAATTGGAAGTGAAGTTGAAATAGTATATGAAAACAATTACGACAAAGTATATCAGTCCTTTTTTATTATATTTCTAAAACATCAGCAAAAATAATCAGATCGCTGGGCTTCTGATGTCATGCTTATAGGAAGTTATCTCAAACCAATTTCTAAGTGATAGCTTTTGAAATGACTTAATGTGATCTGATCTAATTAGCCACGGCAACGGCTGCAAATTACCTATTGCAACTGAAGGAATTATTTTAGCCTCTTAAAAACACATTTTTAAGGTGCTTGAAAACTCACAAAACTTTGCACACATCAAAAGTCATTAAAATTTACATATTAAATGGGTCTTGGACACGGGTGTGGAAGAATGGCTTGATAGCGCCTCATACAGGGCGACAAGTTTCACCTAGAATAAAACCTAGGAATTAAAAGGAATGCGGCTAAGAGTCCTGTCCTGAAGACATCTACATACCAATATTCAGTCATAGTGCCCCTACTGGAAAGAGGAAATGACATGTTTTACACTTTGATGTATTACTTGACTTGTGGGTTCACCAGATCCACCTCAATCAAAAGATCTTGATCTGTGACGTGGCATCTCAATGTTTTGTAATAAAACAGGAAGTTGTTGTAACTGAAGAGTCTGCACCTGTAGCTTTGTAAGCTCTCCCTGTTAAAAGACAAAATTCGAGATAGACATCTCTGTATTGAATTGCTCACTACACATTTATTACACTCAATGGCAAAACATAGCAGTCAATATTTAGGTACCTGACCTAAATAGTAAGTTCTTACTGCTACATTAACTGCTGTTAAAGATCTGTATCTTATTATTGTGTGGAACAGAATTATGGGATCCTTCTTTTCAGTCACAAAATAGGGAAAGACTCAGCCAACATCTATTATGACAAGCTCCACTTGGCATAATTTACCAGCTTAAGTCAGTAGTTCAGTCACTGTGACTAGGCAGTGTGTTTAAGGCTGAAAAAGTATACAGTAATTCTTCTATACAAAGTATTTATTTATAGTGATACTGTATTGATTAAAATTTACTAACACTGGCTATTCTGTATTTGTTAAATGTTACAAACATTATGTTTCTGCTCATATTGTCTCATTTTCATATTTTCAGAAAATCCATGCCCGATCACATTTGAGACACCACCTGTTGTAAAAGAATCTGGCAGGATAACACTTACATGCTCCACTTTAAGTTCATGCCCTTCAAACCCACAAATTCAAGATTTATACTCACAACAGACACATGAAGAACAGAAAAGCACCAAAGCAAGTTTTACAGCCAACTGGCAGGACAATGGGAAGGAGTTTTCATGCCAAACAGAAAACAACACAGACAAATATTTGATCCGGAATGTCAGCATAACTGTCGAATGTAAGTTCATGAATTGAGACTTTATTTATGCGTTGTCCACTAAAACAGTGGGAATATGTACTACTGATATAAACTTTCCAAATGTAAACTAAGGGTTGCACCTGCACCTGCACCAAATATCACAATACAAGTTTTTGTAATTCTGTAAAATGTTACACATAAATAGCATTTATAAACACAGCAGTAGAGATTTACCTCAAACTGTATACCTCTAATTTATGTGATCAACAAATTCTGGGACTAAATTCAAATACAGGTTTGCTTCATTCTCATATATATTTGATTTGTGTAAACAATCCACCTATGCTTGCTATATGTAGATTGATTTCTCCTTGCTTGTATTGAATTTGTTGACATAGATGCTCCCAAAGAAATATTGGCAGAAATAAGCCCTGGAAACATCGAGGAAGGACAGTCTGTGACTCTCACCTGCACTGCCAAAGGCCACCCTGGCCCCACCTTTACCTGGTACAAAAATGACCACCAAATGCATTCAGGGCCAGAATGGACCTTAACATCAATTAATGATTCACAGAGTGGAGAATACCATTGTAAAGCTCACAACAAACATGGGAACAGTAAATCAAACCCAATAATGATTAATGTTACATGTGAGTACTTCCTAAGTTTTTACTTGAATGAATTTAATTTGGTGTGTTTGTGATTCTCAAACATTTGACTCCTGTAATATACTGCTGTTTTTTAAAAAAAGATTTTGCTCTGGTATTTATAAGAATTTGTATTTTTTAATGATTTTTCAGTAGTATTTCACCAGTATTCTTAGTGGATTGTTCACATTGTGGATCAACCTTAATAATTATTGAAATCTTCTGTTACAGATAAGCCTGAAGTTGAGGTAAAGATGACTTCAATGACTTCTGTAATTTTCAAGGAGATAAAATAACTTTAACATGTTATGTGATGAGAAGCAAACCAGAACCTGAGTTCTATGTTTGGTATAAAGATCAGACAGCTATTGGTCAGGAGCAGACACATGTTGTTGAACAAATCATGCCTGAAGACCGAGGCTACTACACATGTAGGGCCACTAACACTGTAGGTGAAGGACAATCACAGCCATTTGAAATTGACGTTAAATGTAAGTTCCACAGCTCCTTTTACTGCATTTATGTCAGAGGATTGAAATCAGTGTATCAACATAGAAAGGTAAATGTTATTTCTTACTTTCAGATAGCCCAGTGAAGACAACTATTTCCATCAGTGAACATGGTAATAATGTGAAAGTTGGCAAACCCCTCACATTCACATGTAGGGCTGAGGCCAATCCTGCCCCAGTGACATACTTCTGGCACCGTTACAACCAAAATAAACCGACTGACTCCCCACAGTGGACGTACAAGACTAATGAAGAAAGTCTACATTTGCAGAGGTTAGAAAGAGCAGATGAAGCATGTTACAAGTGCAACGCAACCAACGCCATTGGTACAGGGGAGGATAGTGAGCCTGTGTGCATACAAGTACATTGTAAGTCATTGTGTTCTGTGATTTTTAAGTTTCTTCAAATGCTTTACAGATTATTAGAAAAATAAACATTTACACTTGATTGAGTCAAACAATCACCAAAGAAATCATCACTTATTTAGTATTATTATTCGCTTTCTGGCAGAGAGTTAAACGTGGTAAAAGATTCCGATCCAAACAAAGTGGCCCACACGCCACCACACAACACTATTCTAGCCATTCCAGCCATGATTTATGTGTCAGGTAACATTAAATGACAGAACGGTTTGAGCTCTAGCTGGGATTAGTGCATTGAAGAAAAGGGGTAGTGCTTAGGATCTAATAAACGAGAAATTATGTATTCATTTGTGATCTTATAGATACTTGTTGGCTGACTTTGTTACCTGTGGGCAGACCCAGGCCAGCTTTTTCCATCAGTCTTTATGCTAAGCTAAGGTAACATGTTGCTGGTTTTAGCCTAATAGTCAATGGACAAACATAAGATCTGATATCAATCTTTTCAATTGACTCTTACCCAGAAATCGAATAAGCACATTTCCTAAAATGTCAAACTCTTAAATGTTTAAGCTTTCAGGGCAGTTGTTGACTTTCTGTTTATGGAGTGCTGTTGTAATGTCATGCAACATGTTTAAAAATGAATGAATCCTCCTGAAAATCAAGCACACAGCTGTGTCCTCTCTACAGATCCTCCTACCGAACCTATGCTGTCTTTGGATGCTGAGGTCATCGAAGATCAGCTTATCACCATCAGCTGCACCGTTGAAAGCTTCCCACAGTCACGTCTGACTTTGACAAGGACTTCTATATCAAATTCTCAGGCTTCAGAATGGCATTCCCCTCAACATGATTATTATGAGGATCATAACACTTTACATCTAAAGTTTAATGTAACTTTAACCGACACAGGCCTTTACACCTGCAACGCAGAGAATGATGAAGGTTTAAGCAAAAGCTTACAAAGGAAGATGGTGGTGAAATGTGAGTTATTCGGTGGGGCATTATCTTGCTTATCAAACAAATCATCAAAGCTAGAATTTTCCATTAACTTGATTTTCACACGGCAAAGGAGAACTACATTGTTTATTTTTTCCATGATGAAGTCATTTTGATTATGTGTCTAGTTGACGAGTGGTTTTGTCATTAAATTAGTGGAAGAAAGTATCTACATTTACTCAAATATTGTACTGCGATTTTACAGTTTCTGTGCAGAATTGTACTTTAACTTAATTCTCAATGTTTCCACCATTGAGTAAAATGATTCATTTATTTATAGAGCTGTAATAACTACATTCTGACAAAAGTTAAATGTGTATTATGCAAATCTTATTCAACCAGTTATTAAATGTTTGGGATCCTGATAGTGATTACAAGCCATAATAACTGACATAATCAGACTGTGTTTAGATCTGACTATTCTGTTTTACTATATTTTTGGTAAATGCAGATCGTCCCAGAGATGTGACAGTACAAGCTAAGCCTGGTCTTGTCGTGAGTGAAACCACGCAGTTGATACTGAACTGCAGTGCCCGGGCCGAGCCACCAGTGACGTCTGTTACCTGGATGAAGGTGACTGATGGGAAGAGTGAAATCATCAAAAATTGGAACGGCACTATAAAGTCTGTCAGTCCTTCTGACAGTGGACTGTACAGCTGTGAAGCCAGTAATATAATTGGAACTGGAAAATCTCAGCAAGCCGAGGTTAAAGTCAAGTGTGAGTATACATATTATAGTGTATGTCAGAATCACATTTCTGCTCTAAATTCCTTCTAATAAAAAAAATATATAATCACAACAATTTCTATTACTGGGTTCTATTTTTTAAGAGAGCATAAAAATCAAAAAATATATCTGAAGCCACTATATGTCTTCGGTTGTGCTGTCATTTTCCAGTATGGTCTTTGGACACTAAGATTTTGAGTAAATATTTTTGTTCTGCTTCCCTTTCTCCTAAATGCCGCTGCACAGATGCTCCAAAACACATAAAGATTATAAGAACAGCAGAGCAGTATTCTGATGGGAAAAGCTTTGTGATGCTGAGCTGCAGTGCTCAAAGCTATCCCCCAGCCACACAATATTCATGGTACAAGAAGACAGAGGGAAGGGATGTAGAAGTGTTTGTCAATCAGAACTACACAGTGAATTCAAACCAACCGGGAGAATACTACTGCATCGCAAAAAATGAAATCAGCCAAAGCTCTTCTGATACAGTCCAGCTGTTTGACCGTGAGTGAATTTTTATCTTTTATAGGGGAGAGGTCTTAGAGGCACAGAGAAATCAGACTTATCAAAACAGATTATTTCCTTTGATAAAATCAGATCAGTTTAAAAAACTATACTATTTGTTCACAAATCTTTGTCTATATACTGATGCTCTGTATTTTCTAACCACAGGAGGCCTAAAAAAGGCCCTGATGTTCTTCATCCTGGTGTTTATTGTCCTGCTCATTATTTTCTTAATTTTATTTGTTTACAGGTAACTTATGAAAACAGAATGTTTCCTACCAAAAATCTGTCCATTTCACAGATGATTTGGCATATGTAATCACTGTCATGTCCCTTTTATGTTTTCAGACGCAAGAGAAACAAATCAGTTCATCATGAAACTACGAACACACCGCCCTGTTTTGGTTTTCTGGTGATGACTTATTTGTGCAACCTTTTCAGCTTCTTTATTAAACAACTTCAGACAAAAATTAAATATCTTTGTGTGTGTCATTAAACCAATTCAGAGTTGGTGGAATAGCCCTAGGAGGAGGAATCTGATAAACGAGCCCATCATGGCAGAGCCTTGCAGGAGCAGAGATGACCTCTTGCCAGACCAGCCATGCCGTCCAAAGGCCCAACGACGCCAGCCTCATCCAGACAGCACGTAAGCAGCCACACGCACACTGTCCCCACCCAGGACAAGGCATGCTCTGTAGGGCAGAGAGCAAGGTGCCGCTGCTCATGCTGGAGTCAAAGCATCCATTAAGATCCTTCAGACATGAATGGTCACAATGACAGCCTGCCCTGTCATTTATCATAGTCAGTGAATATGCGTGCTTTTATTCTTATTGCCATGTTGTTCCACAGGCCTGTATCCAACATCAGCAGTGTTTACTGCACTGTGAATCTGCCCGCTGGCAAACAGGTGAGTCAAGCAATTCAAAGCAACAACATCATTAAAAACAACAAATGAAAGCAGAGACTTTACTAAAAACAAAACAAGAAGTAGAATTTACAGTATGTTGGCCTTTATTACACGGAAGTTTACACAAGTACTAGTCATGAGTACTACTGAGACTGTTAAATGTCTTCCGTGAGTATGAGAAAAAAAACTCTGATGTCATCATCATTAGCTCAGTTTGGGCTCAGAAACTGGGCATTGAGAATGAAAGAGGTGGCTGTTTTACCAAGCAGAGAGGGTCAAATTAAAAATGCTATAAATATAGGAACTGGTGTTTATGGGGGTTAACTCAGTGTGGAACTGGATCAAATCCCCCAAACATGGTCCATCTTCAACATCTTATAGGAATTTTAGCGATTAATCACTTTTTCAGTTGTGTTTTAGTGAGCAGAGGTCCGCTGTATCCCAACTTTCCCCCCTCCTGAGCTCTAAATATTGTGGATTTAAATATAATGCAAAGTATCAAATTTAAGCAGAAATATTGAATCCTGTAAGTAAAATCCTCATAAATTCTAAAACAATACTTAAACTAGTTAAATTGGCAATACAAAGCCCCCAAAATCCCAAAGGTGAATTCTTGAGTGCACAAGATACAGGGATCTCAAACAAGACAATAACTTGATAAAAAAAAACATCATCAGGAATTCTCCATGCAATTTCAGTTTACCACATACAAGACATATTTGTGTTCAAACAACTACTATGCAAACATCTGCGTTGGCCTCGGTCTTCTAAAATCAGTATTTGTCGAGCTCTACTTTAGAGAGCCGGATGCATCTTTCAATGATCAAGCTTTTGCTTTGCCCAGTGTTCTGTAGCGCCCTCCTCACTGTTTGTCAGAACAGTAATCATTCAGTATTCAGTATTGTGGAGCAATGAATCACCGGACAACCTACAGCTGCCATTTTAAGGCATGAATGAAATGATTCAGTTGCTACTGTACATTCATTGATGTCTTCTGTCTGCATCTGCTCAGGGTCCTTCTGCACAAAAGCCAATCAAACAGCAAGGTGGACACACAGAGGCTGGTTCTCTCAACTATGCAAATTTAAACTTTGGAAATAAGCAAAAGTAAGAATTTATGTTTTTCATATAATACCAGAACAATTAAAGAAATATTACATGGCAAATTTTGTGATTACATTTTGCTTTTCTAGGAACAATCCAGAGAATGTCGTGTATGCTATGGTGTACATGAAAAAGCCAACTGAAAAGGTCAGAAACTTATGAACCACATTCTGTTCCTGGTCCATTTTTTTTTGCATGAAAGCATCGTTTAATGTCTAAATGATATTTGGCATGGATCTATATTTTATGTGGTTCCAGGAAATTATTATTGTAGAGCTACTTTTTTTTATAACTCTAGAAAATAAGAAGTATGTCATTTTTAGAACACGTGTGTCCACGATGCTGTAGCAAAGAAGATGTTTCCTGTTTAGAAAGTGAATTCACCAAGGAAAACGTCATCAAATTCTTACAAGCATCAAATGTGTGTTGATATGAACCTTGCTGTGCATAAAATCCAGATATAAATGAATCCATCAAATATTATGACAAATGACCTGGTGAAGATCTCTGTTATCCTCCTAGAATGAACAAGAAGGACAGGAGGAGTACGAGAACTTCAGTGCAGCCAAGTCTCCAAATCCATTGGACTATGACACAGACACCAGTGAAGATGAAGCAGATCTCAATTATACACAGGTGAACATCACGGCAAAGCCTGGACATCGGACAGCCAACAGAGACTCCAGCAGCTCTGATGAAGAAGATACTCAGTACTCTGAGGTCAAAATCTGAGTTAAGATCTTCTTATCTGAGCCACATGTTTCTAATAAATCATCAACTGTTGTTTATTAAATATGTTTATTTTTATCACTCTAATGTTTCCACTCCTAAAATATTACATTTCGTTATATTAATGTGCAGTAACAAGTACCTAACATGGAGGAAATAGAGGAAAGTGATTAATCCAAGCCCATGCAATCTAAAGTAAAATGAGGCTCAGCTTTAACATTTTTGTTTAAACTACTGAATTATAAAGGAAAGTGTGGGCAAATGTACATATTTGTAAGCTGTTTTGGCATTACTGTTTATTTCATTTATTAACATACTCCAGTGCAAGATGACATGGCTGTAATGTTATAACGCTGTGCAGCAGCTGCTTTACTTAGGTTTGTTTCGGAAACAAACAATGTGCTATATGCATAATCATCCATTTAATAACATGCTTTGACTTCAGCTCTTGTATGAAAAGATTGGCTTTCTTAGGTTTTATAAACATGCACAAACATAAACATTTTAGCAAAAACAAATACAAAATGATCAATAAAAAAGTGTTACACAAATGTCCCCCTGTTTTTTAAACTCTGCACAATTAGTTTAAATAATAAATTAACAGAACTGTAAGACAAAAAGTAGCAGTGAAATATTAAATATAAACAGCTGCATGATTAATGTGGTGGAACGGTTATTGGTTTTATTATGGTTGATTGTAGGGAGGTTGAAGCTTCATACCCAGCATGCAGAGTGGCTCTGACATCTGTATCCTATGGTAGCTACCTACCTTATGTATTCAAAATCACTTTCATGTTTTTTTTTGTTTGCTGGGCATTTTTTCAGTAAAGAGACACAAGAAAGATTGACAGAAAACAGTTACTGTGACAAAAGTTGAGAGCTCAACTTGAAGCCACACGTGTGTGGCATTACTCGCTTTAAAGAAGGATGGCTGTAGCGCAGTTGCTATCTCCACTGCTGCAGACTTTACGAGGTTGTTCTGCTCAGCTGGGCTCTGGAAACTGAAGGGGGACATAGTAAAGTGCTGCGGCTGTTTGAAGCCCAGAAACCTGTGTTTCAGCTATCTTTTCCCCCAAAGTTAAGCCATGACCTTTTCATCGACCAGTCCTATGAGATCATCAGAGACTTTCCCTTGTCCCAAATAAGTGTCAGCAACTGTCTCTTCTTCATTTCAATCTCCTCCGTTGCTTGCTCTGGAGTGCAGACGGATCTCAGCATACTCAGCCGTCTTGGAGGCCAGGCCTCTGATCTCCCCTTCCCCGAGCTTACCCTCTGACTTGGCCTGGAGTTTAGCAAAGTCCACGTTAGCATAGTGCAAAGTATCTTCCTGAACTACTGCTTCCTCTTCCAGAATGGCTTTATTGGTGTAAATCACATCCACTTGTGAACAGTTGGTCTACAGGAAAACAAATGGAGACCCAATTACATGACACCCGCTCTACTGTTAAAAGAACATCATTACACATTGTATCCTGTTATCTAGAAAGCAAGACTCAACAATACAGAGTTACCTAGATTTTGGTCAGGGTTGACAGTACACTATGCAAAGTTGATGTATGGAGAGCAGAGATGGGGATGGTGCAGTAGTAGGATAAAATGTACTTTTTTCTCAAGCTTACAGTAAGCAAGTTTTTGACACTAAATGATAGATAGTGGGTGGCGTGCAGTATGTCTTATGTAAGCCACCAGTCACTGCAGACTAAACTCACCCAGAACTATTTCTGTCCACACACACAGCAATGACACTTAATATTCTCATAACATACACATGGTCATGTGTGCAAGGACATAAACTCACCTCATTAGTAACTAAAATGTCTGAAGTGTCCACCAATCCCTTGTCGGGTGAATGGCTTCCTTTCTTTTTCCTACAATCAACATAAATCACTGTTATATGTACAGTCACTTATGATTAAGCCTTCCCACTGAAATTGACTGCCAGCCTGGTCACCAGTCAACCTCATA